CATTGTCCTTCTTTGTAAATTATGGGTGCTATGAGACCCAGATTCAGGATGTTTTCAGTTACTACCCAACACTGTTGCTAAGTGGATGTCCCCTTACCTCTGAATAGGGGAGAGATGATGGCTATATCCAGACCAGGGTGTGATTTTACGGGTCCTGGTTATAGACACACTGCTAGAGTTCTTTTCTTATCTGTCTTCTTGTAAACTGATTATTGGATCATCCATTTCAGAGCATTTGGTCTGGTTTTAGAGAACAGGAGTCTCTCTGGTAGTGTTTTGGATGACTTCATTGTTTCATGGGTCCATAGGGACTGTTATGAGAATCAGAAATGTTGAAATGGAACCTCACTGACACGTTAGCAAAATCAGACAGCTGTTCAGCTCTTATATCAGTTGTTTTGCTTTCTTTGCTTATGTTTGTCTGAACAAACCCCAGGAGTAGGGGGGTCTAACTGATAGGGAATTTTTGAAATCACTCTGGTAGAAATATCTTGCATCTCTACTATGAACCCTTAGAAATTCAAAACAATTTTCATATGGCATCTTTCCATAAAGAGAGGTGTTTTTTTTCTTTCCTGTAAGTACATAATTCATTTTCATAAAGTGATTTACAGAGTTTGAGACAATATGAAGTTTTTGCTTATCAAAGATAATTTTTGGAAAACTGAGAGGTGTTCACCCTAACAAGGTCCAGAGAAAATTGTCCTTGTTGTTTTCTGGTGATAACATGGACAAGGACATGCTTCCTAAATAGGAGATAGGAAGTTTGTCTTTCCAGTCTGAGGCTTTGTGCTCCTTGGAGTGGCCTTGATTTTGGTCAAAATTGTGTTCAGATTCCCCAGGAAAGTACTCAGAAAAGATTTACTTTGAATTTCTTTATAAAATAGAAGAAATACATTAATTACATCTGGTAGTTTGTTGAAGTACACAGATAACCTCAGAAGACCCAGTATAAATAGATGTCATAGAACAGATTAGCTTTCCATTAGCTCAGAACCAGTGAGCTTTTCCCCATTTAGGGGAAAGATGCAGTGTATGAGGGACAGTGTCTACATATGGGATGTGACAGATTAGATTTACTTGCATTTTCTCGCGCTATTAGGAAGACTGAAAGGCAGCACTGTTTGAGACAAACAAGATGAGAGCAGAACTCTTGGACTGGGCTTTACGGACCACTTTGTAGTCAAAGTACAGTTTTAGGAGGTCACTGAAACCCCAGAAACTGCATGGACAAATGTTTTATTTCTGAGTTGTCATCTAATAAGTTCTTTCTCTGAGAGGATGACCTGTTAAAACCAGAGGTATAATCTCTAGTTTAATTACGTGGAGTCATTTTGTTTCTGTTTCTGCCATTAGAATGTTCCTGCTCCTCTACAATGGACTCCTTACCCTGGATTAATGGGCACTTAACCTGGAATTCATGGGTCCTGCAGTGAATGTATTTTCTCTGACTTTGCCTGCAAAATGTCGTGTGCATATGGGTCTTTGTGTGTGTGGTGAGAAGGTTCATCTGTTGCATTGAGTTCTCAAATGCTTTGTTACTGCCAAAGATTTACACAGAATCTACTAATTTAGAGTAGTCATTGTTTCCTCATTTGGGGTGCATTCCCTTTAGTTTCATCAGCTTTCCCAGTCACATGGCCCCTAGTTTAGTTTGTTACTGCTAATGAACTAAGTAGTGACTCTTACTTTTATGTAGATGTAGCATAGGCTTGAGCTGTCTGGATTGCCAAACTGGAAGTCATCAGATACCACGTGTATCATTTCTCCATGGGCTGTTTCTTTTCCGCAGCCTGCCTCAGCTCTGGTCTTCAAACCACGATCATGGGGCAATAATCCACCCGTGAAAACCTTCAGCAGTATGCTCTTATCTTTGTAATTATAGTCTATCCTGAGCTACAGTTGATTCTAAAGAAGATTTTCTTTCCCTTCCCTTCCCTTCCCTTCCCTTCCCTTCCCTTCCCTTCTCTTCCTTCCCTTCCTTTCCCTTTCCTTTCTGCCTGAGAGAAAGTAGGCACCTTAGCCAGGAATTCTTGCAGATATTCCAGGTATGTTCTCCCCACCATTGGGTGAGCTTTTATACCTTCATTCTTCGGTTGGTTGTTTTTGGTTGTCCTCTGTCTTTCCCTCAGCAAGATTTATTCCAGTAGAGGAAGGTTGCTGAGGGGTTGGGTGAGTGGGTGCTTGGGGGGACTCTCTGCTCCTGCCAAATGATTTTTTAAAAGAAGTATTGAGTATTTTTCTTTTAATTTTCCAATCGTAGTGTGAATTCTTTTTCTCCAGATGGTTTTTGGGGCTTTGCCTGGGCCCTGTGTGCCAGAGTCGAAGATTCATCTTGGCCAGACGCTGCCACATATTGAAGAGGGAGCCGTTTCCAGGAAAGCTCAGAGCTATGGCTCCTAGAAATCTTTCCTTGATTGTGTGAGCCAGGCCTTTTGACCATCTGGAAAATTTTGGACCCCAGCACCAATATCTGTCTCATACACATTTTTCTTTTCATTTCCTAAGTTTTTTTTTTTAATTCTTGTTCATTTGAGATATATATTTATTGCTATTTTATCTACACACTTCAAGAGTGGTATGCCTCAGGGCTGCAAAGGAAATCATTGGAAAAAGGGTTGACGTGCCCTCGGTGGATAGGCATGGCTATTCGTTGTGCCGTGATGGTGCTTGATAAACAATTTTGGAATGAATAACTCTGGAAACTTTTTACTGACACATAGTGTTCATGACAGAGTGTTTCTTAGCAATTTTCAGGTACTCTTGAACAAGTAATGACTTCATTTCTCCTTTCTTCCCTCTCTGGAGGGTGTGTTTTCTATGGTGTGCATCTCTCTGTTCATGCCACATTCAGTTTGATGCTTTGTCCCTGCTCTGGTTCTGCAGCCTCTCTTGTTTACAGCGGCCACCAGTCTGTTTATTTCTAGATGCAGACAGCTGTGCAAAATGTTGTGAGGTAGAGTTTGTACAACCAAGAAATGTGTTATTATGCTGTAGCCGTACTTGACATCACTGCTCATTAGTACTCTGCTTTTAGTACTTTGCATATGCCAAATGGTAAAAATGATCCTAGCTGTGTTGCAGAAATAGCTCATGATAGTATTGCTCGTGTTTTAAAATTTTTCTGTAAATTAGCTAGCTAAGTCCCTTTGAACCTATTAATATACTCAGCCTTTTTAATCTTTTAGATAATATAAGTTTATGAATCTACTGTGATAAATCAATCCTTGAAACAACTGTCTACTACTCTGTTTGAGCACAGTATTAAAGTAAGACATATCTTTGCCTACTGAGTATTTGCAGTCTATTTCAGAGATTAAGACGCGCACACTCAACTGTTAATGAATAGACATGATATTACGTACCATAGTGCAAATTATTAATAGAATAAAGTACTTTTGTAGCATTGGAAATTAGAAAATTAAATATCTAATTGGCACCCACTGAGTGCCTACCGTGTGCTAAGGCATGGGGTATTGAAAGTAAAGTTTGTTGGGCGCCTGGGTGGCTCAGTTGGTTAAGTGACTGCCCTCGGCTCAGGTCATGATCCTGGAGTCCCGGGATCGAGTCCCGCGTCGGGCTCCCTGCTCAGCGGGGAGTCTGCTTCTCCCTCTGACCCTCCTCCCTCTCATGCTCTCTGTCTCTCATTCTCTCTGTCTCAAATAAATAAATAAAATCTTTAAAAAAAAAAAGAAAGTAAAGTTTGTTGCCTTATATCCAGTATCAGTGACCTGAGAGGCTACTGTGATAGGTGACATCGGTGTCCTAGGCAGTCCCTACAATAAAAGGCAGAGATACATTGAGATCGAAGTGGGCCAGCAGCCACTGGAAGATGCAAAGTAGTCCAGCTTTGAGCGCTCTATCCCTGATGGCTCTCTAGGCTCAGATCATAGATCTAGGCCATTTAATCCTCCTACGGATTAGGCCTGAGAGGTTCTGTTATTCCCAGTGTATTTATTACTCGGTCTCTGTCTTGCCAACTAAGGTCATTTTTTGTGCTTTCCCTCTCATCACTTTCTGGTGTTCTTGGGTGAGTTCAGCTTTTTACCATATGTGCTTCTTGGGTCTTGTCTCACCCCTCTGTCCACAAAGCCAGTAGGAGACATGCTTCTGTGAAGGCATCTGCTATTTCTTTATGCACCCTTTTGCTTTTCTATGTTCACGTTGACCTACCTTGGCTGGTGGGCTCCAGGAAGATGTCGTTGGACCCACTGTTTCCAGCTGTCCTCGTAGGTGCTTTTTGATGATGTTAATGGTGACAGTCGTAACCTACAATAGTCCTTGATCTGCTGTCAAAACTGGTCACGCTTTTCTTATCCAGGCTTGAGGTTTTCTTCCCTGGTTTTTTTTTTTTTTTTTTTTGGACCTGGTTTATATACAACCAGTTTTTATTCTGTGTGTTCTCTATGCTTCGTTTTTTGGAAAACCCCTTCAAGCTCATAGCTGGGATGATGAAAGCACTGGCAGTTCCCCTTGGCAGCCCCTTTCCCTTAGCTTTCGGCACTTTTCTTTGGCAGAACTCATTTAACTTTTTAGAGGTCGGAGCTCACCTGGAAGAGAAGAAAGTCCTTTCTCTGGTGATCCAGAGGGATGACCGTACCCAGGGGATTCTGTACTCTCACTTTTCAGCTTCATCATTTGCCTTGAAGGAGAAGACAGTTCTGAGGGAAGGTCACTTTTGTTCTGCCTTTGCTAACTTTGAAAAGAAAAAAAAGTGTTCTGTTTATTTGTGTTCCACTATTACTGGGAGCTGAATCATGTTTTGGTTGAGATTAGTGTGGGTTGAATTACACGAGGTAGCCATTTGTGTAGTAAAAAAAAAAAAAAAAGGCCAAATATTGGCAGTATCATGGAGTTCAACTTAATATATCTTATCCGTAGACTCTGAACTAACTTACAGCTTTTCTTAACGGTGAGCTGTGAAAAGGCATTCTAAATGCTGCGCTAAGTGAGTTTAATGGGGAGCCAGTGTTAAGATTCCTCTTTCTCTTGCTTCCTAGGTCACTCTGCACCTCAATCCTATCTCCTCCGTCCACATTCACCACAAGCCTGTCGTGTTCCTGCTCAACTCCCCACAGCCCCTGGTCTGGCATCTGAAGACAGAGAGGCTTGCAGTTGGGGTCTCTAGACTTTTCTTGGTAAGTGTTTGAAACCCTTCCAGACAGTCCTTCGCACTATCCTTAGGGATAGAAGGACCCCAAACCTTTGCAGGTCTTTTTTAAAATTAAGGCTTATTTCATTGAAATAATACCCGAGTCGACAGTGTGTTAAATTTGAAGAATGCTCTTAGTGGGGTTTGGACAGTGGAGATAAGCAGTCACAGAAAACAAACATTGCACATGTGTGTCTGACTGTGGATGGAGGGTCCGGTCTAGTTTGCACGTCAGAGCAGGACCTGCAGTCATACTCTGTGTGGCCCGGGCTTTGGTCTCAGCTCTGAGACTCCTCTGGTGGCATCAAGGGCAACGTAAACATTGTAAATAGCCTCTAGGTGTGTGGTCTCTGACCACAAAATAAATACACACAAGCCCATTCTATTTGTATATAACACAAGCCTGCTTTCTGATACGAGAATCTGTTTGTTGAGAAAGTGACACAGCGAGTTCCAAAATGAAAACATTTGTATTTTATAAAAAAACTGGAACTCAGCTCTTGTGGAAAGATCCAAATATTACCTACTATTTGTAAATCATGTCCTTTTGAGTTTGCCAGAACATTCAAGTTTGCTAGTTGTGGAGAAATTGATGGGTTGTTTGGATGGAATTTTTGGGGTATGATATCATGTCTGATGATGAGCAACACTGCCCTTCGCAGTGATAACTCATGTTGTCTATTGCTAGAGCTCCATGCAAATGTCCTTGACTGCAGAGCCTCAGGCTCTTAAACCTCTTTGCCCCAAAGCATCCAGAACAAGAAGAGGCCTCAGTTAATATTCTTTCTCTTGCAGAGTGAGCAGACTTTGCCAATTAGTGACTCTTAATCCAGATCTAGATTTTCTTGTCACTTGTATTTGAAGAATACTTTTATTTATTTATTTATTTATTTTAAAAGATTTTATTTATTTATTTGAGAGAGAGAGTGAGAGAGAAAGAGCACAAGAGGGGGGAGCGGGAGAGGGAGAAGCAGACTCCCCGCCGAGCAGGGAGCCCGATGCGGGACTTGATCCTGGGACTCCAGGATCATGACCTGAGCCAAAGGCAGTTGCTTAACCAACTGAGCCACCCAGGCGCCCTGAAGAATACTTTTAAAATCTCAAAGGTACCTATTGAATAAAGTAGGAGTCTGTAATCAATACAGCTAATAAGTAGATAAATAAATTAGTAAAAAGGGATAAGGAACAGCTCTTCTTTACATTCAAATGCCAATCAATAATATAGAGGGGATGGTGGAGTTAGAAATTCCTGATTTTGTAATCATTTATTGTAAAAGTTTATTAGGCAGGAATCATCAATAGAAGCTAAATGTAGGGGCACCTGGGTGGCTCAGTTCATTAAGCAACTCTTGATTTCGGCTCAAGTCATGATCTCAGGGTCATGAGATCAAGCCCCACATCAGGCTCTGTGCTCAGTGGGGAATCTGCTTGGGAGTCACTCTCTCCCTCCCCCTGCTCGTGTGCTCTCTTCCTCTCTCTCTAAAAGAAATAAATAAATCTTAAAAAAAAAAAAAAAAGGAAGAAGCAGCTAAATATAGCAAAGGTGAAGGGAGTTGAGGAATAGTATATTTACATAGTCTCAAATTAGTTATTAATAACAAAAGAAAAAACAGTAACTATATGCAGTAGGGGTACCCAACAGTACCTCAACCAAGTGATCAAAGTTAGTTTCACCAATATGGTGCAGGTGAACATTGTATGCCTTTAAATGAAACAGTGTCATTTATGTTGTATTCTAGCCAAACAAGCACATAACCTGAATCTAGTCATGAGGAAACACTGGACAAAACCAAATTGAGTAACATTCTTTCAAACCCAGATGGAACTTATTCTGTAAGCTCTTACCCTAGACTGCCTCTTTCATACTCATAGTCATTGTCTGTCTCCTGTAATTAAAGGTATTTGTGATAGTAACTGAAATGGCTATGATCATTCATTCAACCCTTAGAGTGCTGAGCTATATTGTCCAATACTGTAGGCACTAGTTGTGGATGAGCTGTTTAAATTGAAATTAACTAAAATTACAAATATATTGGGGCACCTGGGTGGCTCAGTTGGTTAAGCGTCCAACTCTTAGTTTCAGCTCAGGTCATGATCTCAGGGTCCTGGGGTCAAGGCCCACATCCGGCTCTGCACTCAGCATGGAGTCTGCTTAAGATTCTTTTCTCCCTCTGCCTCTCTTCCTCCATGCTTGCTCTCTCTTTCTCTCTCAAATAAATAAATAAATAAAATCTTTAAAAAAATAAAATAGGGCACCTGGGTGGCTCAGTCATTAAGCGTCTGCCTTCGGCTCAGGTCATGATCCCCAGGGTCCTGGGATCAAGTCCCACCTCCCTCCTTGGCGGGGAGCCTGCTTCTCCCTCTCCCACTCCTGCTGCTTGTGTTCCTGCTCTCGCTATCTCTATCTCTGTCAAATAAATAAAATCTTTAAAAAATAATAATAATAGGGGCACCTGGGTGGCTCAGTCGTTAAGCGTCTGCCTTCGGCTCAGGTCATGATCCCAGAGTCCTGGGATCGAGCCCCGCATCGGGCTCCCTGCTCAGCAGGAAGCCTGCTTCTCCCTCTCCTACTCCCCCTGCTTGTGTTCCCTCTCTTGCTGTGTCTCTGTCTCTGTCAAATAAATAAAATCTTTAAAAAAATAATAATAATAATAAAATAAAATAAAATTACAAATATAGTTCCTTAGGCATACCAGCCCTATTGCAGGTACTCAATAGCTATATGAGGCTACCACACTGGGCAGTTTATGGGAGAGGTTATGAGCAAAGGCTTTGCCCACCCTCCTTTGAATGCAAGTAGTAATTTGAGGCAGATTATTTTATTTCTGTGAGCCTGATCTTCCTCACTTGTAATATGGGAAAATTAACAGTCCCTGCATCACGGGGTTGTTACCTTGATTAGATGAGATTACATGTAACATGTTTAGTGCAGTGCCTAACCCCATTACCTGCTGTTATTGTGACTGTTTGTTATTAATCATAGTAAAGAACACTTGGGAAGGACGTTGAATCTATATTTCTAATTATAAATGTCTGGCCTGTCCTGTTCAAGATTGAAACGAGTTCCTATTTTTCTGGGCTACAGGTCTAGATTAAAGTGGGGGCCGCATATAGCATAGTTGTACTGGTCACTTTTGGGATTCTTCATGAACCTACCACTCCATGGGTTTAAATGGAAAGTATCTTAGCCCTAATTATTATTTATTTGCTTTAGTTTTATTTAAGATCTATAAGAACTGTTTTTGGGCCATCAGTTTAAAATGTACTAACAATGAAAAAAGGAGATGGCTTTAATTAACAATTTAACATCATCCCTACTTGGAGTTAATCCTACAGAAGGAGATTGCAGGTCAAGTGATGAACCTAAAATTACCAATAAAGGGGAGACAGCATTGGGAGAAGGCAAGGATTTAAATTCGGGGACACTTGAGCTCTGCTTTTGTGTCCAGCAGGCTTTCTTTAGGGAGAATGCTGTCCTCCCATCTGTACATTCCTTCAAGGTAGAACATCTTTTGTTCCTTCGGGTTCTCAGGTCAGCGGATGGGTGATGCAAACTCTCTCACAAGCTGGGTAGCTCTCCCTAAGAGAGAGTGTGAAGGAGGGAAGGCAAGCTCTTCCCTTGCTCTGTGTACCTGGAAAGGAATTTCAGGGTCTGCGCATCCACTGGACAGCTGTTGCAGCAGAGGGATCTGCTGCTGGATAGAAAACCTGTGGTGAATTCTGTTTATCCATTTATAGTTATTAAGCGTTAAAGTTTGGCGATCAGATAATTACATTATTTTACAAACACTTCAGAAAGGCCCATGGAATTTTCAGAAACTGGGGCTTGGCCATTTCCATCACTGACTTCTCCCAGGTTACCCAACGAGCTCAGAGTTGCAGAGGAGAGAGGCAGTCTTTTTGGGGGGTGGGGGATAGAAGAAGAGGGAGAGAGAGAATCTCCAGCAGGCTTCCCACTGAGCACAGAGCCCAAGGCAGGGCTCAGTCTCACAGCCCTGAGATCATGACCTGAGCCAAAATCAAGAGGTGCACGCTGAGCCACCCAGGCGCAATCTCTTGATTCTTAGTCTAAGATGAGTGTGTCTGCATCACTGCCTTAAAGCTGTCTTTACTTTCCAGGTAAAGTTACAATACTAAGCAGTTTTGGTTTGTTTTTTCCTCTTAAGTAGAGTGGTGAGAGAAGTTGAAGCAATGGTATTACTCCTCTGTGCAGGATGACCTTTTACCTTAACTTGACATGTCTGCATTACAGCTGCCCCAACTTAAAAAGGGAACCTTTCGTAGTTAGTTAGCAGGGGCTTGTGTTGCTGTGTCTTAGCCACCCATGAGAGGGACTAGAAACATTATACTTTAGCAGTGTCTGATAAAGGTATCTGGCTTTTTCCGTCAAATCATTCTAGGCCTTCTTAGGATTTCACAGTGCGGGCAAGAAGGAGCGTGTCAGGTAGGGGGAGAGTGTGGGATTGAGTTTCCTCTGTGAGTGCAGTTCCTTTATCTGGTTGTTCTGGTTACATAGGAAACAGAGTGGGATGAAGAGTGATTGTTTCATTGTCAAGTAGTGAGTCTTTAAGTATGAGTGTCTCTCTCACACACGTGCACACACACACATGTTACATGCATGTGTGCATGCATGATGGAGTTGTCACAGCTGTGTAGATTTTCTTTTGTAGGGTGTATGGGTGGCCCAGAGAATATTGAATTGGTTAGAGTTGTCCCTCAATGCAATTAGAAATAAGAATAACCCTACTCTCTCAGTCTGCAAAAACTTTATTTATGCAATTATTTCCACACTGAAAAAAAAGCATAGCTCAACTGGGCAATAAATATCTGAACTGTCAACCTGAGTTTGCTTAAAAAAAAAAAAAGATGGGGACAGTACTAGATTGTCTTTAGAAATATGCTACAATTTGAATAGACATTTCATCACAGAAAAAACACAAATGGCCAATAAGCACACGAAAACGTCCAATATCATTATTCATTAGG